GGCTGCATTCACATCGGTAATGGTGCTGGAACACAGACCAACACTACATGGATCTTTGGCAGGGGCGTCGTTAGGCCTGTTTTAGGGGGGCTGAAGCCCCGCTAAAATGTTCTTCAGCCCCCCCAAATAATTTGGCATTATTGGCTTTAAAAAAAAAAAAATTTTTTTTTTTTTTTTTGGTGATGTCATTAAATTAAACTATTGTCTCTCACATGGACAAGTTATTTATAACTCTAACATGCTACATATGTGCATGCGTTCTGGTTTGTATGTTTTCTCCCCCTTCAAATTACAATCCAGTAGCCTATCATCATACTTAACGATGTAAAGTTGACACTGTCAGGTCCATTCTCCATCCATTGTGTGCGGTCCCTTTAAGAATTAGGATTTGGGAGTGACGCGGATATGAAAGCTAGTTTATCCGTCTTTCCTTTACAAGCAGGAAAATTATTTCTCTCTTTATTTGAGAAAAGTTCATATTTGTGTTGTCAAATTTCACTATGACCCTGAAATTCTGTCTCTTGTGTTATCATATACTGAATGCAAGTAAAACTATAGAGCAAAATCACACTCTTTCTGATTGAACCAATCTATGAACTGTCTGAAACAATGGATATCCATGGCCCCAAAAGAAATTGCCACGCAAACATGCCACTTCCCTTTGGGCTAAGCCCCCGCTTTCTTTGTATCATAGAAACGCCCCTGATCTTTGGGTAAAGTCACATGGACTGATGGACTTTGTCAGAACTGTAACATGTTCACCAATATCATTGTGAGTTCACTCTTATCCAGTTATTTCAGAAAGAGGGTTTACACTTAAGTAACTTAAGTTGAAAGTGAAAGAAACATGATGTTTCAGAGACCTTTTCTACTGAGAATTTTAACAGAAAAGTAGTCATTTAAAACATTAACCCACATTTTAAATAAACATGCTGGCTAGCCCTACTGATACTTCTTAAAGAACTATGAAAACTGTTGGCAGTGCAATCTGATCGGGACACTCTAGGAAAGAGTTATTGTTGAATTTTATAAATGTACATTTTCAACACTGTGAACACCACAAACCACATTACATGCACCTTCATTGTGTTGGGGTGAGCGAGATACTGTATCACAAAAAAAACTACGCTAACAATGTTAGGATCACACCGATTTACTGTAGCACATGCATTGCACTTCTATAACATTCAGACTCACAATGGACAGTTAACCAAAAAAGTTAACCAGAAAGAACCAGAGATAACATCTTGGTATCCACACTGCAACTAGAACGCCAAAAGGGCACGCCTAGATGATAACCGGCAAGTTGCCAAATTCTCGTTTGATGGTTGAAGTTATGACCTCAACAGGTTTAAGTTAGGCATCGACCTCGAATGGTTAAGTTTAGGCATTGACCTCAACTGATTTAAGTTAGGTATTGACTTCCAATGGTTAAGGTTAGCCATTGACCTTGAATAGTTATGGTTAGACACTGTCCTTGAATGATTAAGGCTAGGCATTGACCTTGAATGGTAAAGTTAAGCATTTACCTCAAATGGTTAAGGTTAGATATTGACCTTGAATAGATTAGGATAGGTTGTCGGGCAGTGCGTCTCGCAAGAGTTTTCGCATGTTTTCACAACTTGTGGGTAACCATCGAGATGCGACCAACTGAAAGCTTCATCTGAGATTCCACTATGCTATGGTAGTAGCAGCTAATGTAGCCTCAAGCAGAGATGAGTCTCTCACAACCAATAAGCGAGCAGATGTAGTTGGGGGAACAAAAGCAAAAAGCTAGCTCTTGTGACCTGTCCTCTCTGAACAACCTTCAGAGCCATCTTTCAAACAAGGCATTGTTCATATGCCTAAAGGACGTACAGTATATTTGCCTTTACCTGACAAGTGACCTCGTGGCTGGGGTGAAAAAAAGTGTGACCTTTCAACAAATTCTCACTCCCAGCTCGTCAAATACAGACACTTGGTCAGTGGCTATACGTTTCAAACTGTGACGCTCTAGGTTCCCCTCTAGTGTCAGCTTTGGATGTGTCAGGGACGGCGTGTCCGTTTTAGCTGTACATGCATACAATGTCTTTTCAAAATAAACTTCCACCATAGATTTAATTCGTTTTTAGGTTTACTCGGTTAGGTTTAGGCAACAAAACATCCATGGTTTCACACAAGACAAACTGTGTCCTCCTGGGTGAAAGTCTGTCTTTGTCTGAAGCTTATGGGTTTACATTGGAGTTTGTTGAAAGTCCAGTGCGTCTCATACAGACGCTAAAGGGTGCCTCGGTGCGTTGGTATCAGATACCAAGAGCCACTGACAAAGCGTCGGTATTTGACGAGTTGGGAGTGAGAATGGGTTGGACTGTGGGACATGGACATGTACATCACAGTAAAAGCTTATTTGTATTAGCCCCGATAACAATCTTTCTGTAACAGTAACAAAGTAGATTTAGTGGCCATAAACTGAACTCAACAGTACCCATGGAGGTGGCAGATGTGAATAAATTATAAGTAATTTGAACTTTTATTTGTTGTTGTTTGCTCTAAGCCTACAGGCAGTGAGTGTTTGACACTCAAAACATTGCTGAGTGGAGTTTTTCCACTTGGACTGTACCGTTGTAACCTCACCAATGGCAGGGTGTTGTTTTGATTCAAAATCAGAAAGCCCCCAGCGCTCCACCCACCACACTTGACCTGTACAGAGCACTTGTTTTCCCTCATTTTCATCTCTTCTCGCCTCTAGTGCTCAGCTGACCTCTGTGCTCTGACCACAACTCACCCCATATGGCAAGCCCCTCATTAGACACTGCAAACCTGAGCACACAGGGGTTACGGTCACACATACACCAGGAATATGCAAACCTATAACAATAGTGTGGATGAGAAGGGCTTGGAGGATAATAAACCAGGGTTGTTTTGGACCATATAAATAGAATAGGAGTAGAAGGGACATTCCCGTTCAAATCCACGTAGCAGGGCGGTCAGAGCGGCGACCATTTTTATGTGTACCGTTGAAATTTCGGCAGCTGTTGCGGGCTAACTTCGTATAAGCTAAACAGACTTATGGCTAGTTGCGGACTCACTGAGGTTTTGCATTAACAACCAAAACGAGTAGTGTAGAGTATAGAGAGTGTAGAAAGCCAGAGTCAATGAGTACAATTTAACAAGCTCATGCTTCATCCACTCACTCTTATCATAGCGTTGGAAAGCACATTGCTTTTTCCAGATGAGTGACAACTTTGTTTGACTTAAATTAAGTAACCAGTGTAGCATTAAAGCATGACGGAATTAGCAAGCTAGCTGTCCGCTAGTAAGCTAGCTAGCTTGCTAATTCCACCATGCTTTAATGCTCCACTAGATACAGAAAATGAGCCAAACAGCTGGCTGGGTCTAATGGTCCCTCTGCCTGACTCCCACCACTCCGGAGAAGAACAAGCTACCTAGCTAGCTAAGCAGCAAACCAACTTCAGAGCTGCGACCACACATTACAGCCCCACTGAAGCGTGCTGCCACCATAACAAGAAACAACAATTGGCATTTTATTTTGTACCAGTTAAATGACCAAGGAAAGCAGTTCAATGTCCTTTTTACCCTCTATTCTATTTCTATAGAACCGTGTGCAGAGCTCCATGTCTCGCCCTTTCTACCCATATATGTGTGTGTGAATGTTCGAGAATGTGTACGTGTAGTTAGGAGTTTTCAAGGACATGCTCAGTGCCGGATAAGTGCGGTCACATGCATGTTCACATGTTCTGTTGTTTTTGTGATGTTATGGTGGATCAAGTTCATGGTTCAATTGGTAGGAGAGGTGAGAGAAAGGGCAAACAAAAGAGTGAACGGCTAACACATGGCATCAAGTGAGAAAAACCTAAAGTGAAAAAAACAGTTAGAATACCAACAGCATCCTTTTTGTCCTGCTTTATATTTTGGTTTATTCTTCGGTGAGCAATACTTTTTTTTTACATCCAAAGTCTGTTGAGACCAACCTTGAGAGTATAGGCAAGAACATGTTGTGTAGACAGGCTGTGTGTATGTGTGTGTGTGTGTGTGTGTGTGTGCGGGGTGGGAGTGAGACATGTCTCTTGCAGATGTGAGAAAACGGCCATGTCTCCGGGACCGAGTGTGTGGACAGTCTAATTGGCAGAATAGAATGATGTGGTTAGTCTGAAGGGAATTGAAGGTAATGTAATGAGTTGAGTTGAAGCAGAGCTGATGGGGGCGCGCAAACTGTGGGAAAGCTCTCCAAAAGACACGCCAAACACTGGAGTGTGTCTGCATTTGCAGCTCATAAGGATGTACAATCGGGTGAGCTCTCACACTCTCTCTTCATTTGTCGCGGTCACCATGGTGATGTGTGTTTGTGTGTGTGTGTGTGGGGGGGCTTGCCTCGGAGGCCCATAATTCACAGAGAGCCTGTCTGGCTGTGACACGTCCTTTTCAGCCAGGCATTGTTTGGATGCTGATTTACGTGTGTTTGTTGCACTTTTACCACCACCTCGTCCACACCTCCAGCGGGGGTGGCAAAACCTTTAAAGGATCAACACATCCGAGACCAGAAACAGCATGGCGTCAAAGTTTCTGATTAAATGATAGCGATACAGATAGAAAGTCAATCGGATGTGAGCAAATTATGCAAGAAAATGCCATTAATTCATTGTGACTTGCTGTTTTTCCCATCTTTTTCTTTCCCTCTCTGTTTGAAACAGTGTTTGTTTTCCCGACCAGCCCACCCCCTTCCCTCCCAGTGGGCGTTCCTACATCACAGAGGAGCCCAATCACAGACGAGCCCTCTACCCCATCCCTCCGTGGTCAGCCTGTTAAGGATTTTTTGTGTTCACGTTTTTTTTCTCCTTTTTCTTCTTTTTTCTCCAGCTACCCCTCGTTGAGCCACTTGAGCCAGGAGCAGATGGAAAGATTGTAGTGGGGGGAAAGTAAGCAAGCAGCACAGAGTAAGAGAGAGAGAGAGAGAGAGAGAGAGAGAGAGAGAGAGAGAGAGAGA